AGCACGAGCAACATTTGAGAGTGGTGCTTTAGACCTTGCGGGAACAGAATCTGTATGCTAAGTTCTCCCAGTGTGAGTTCTGGTTAGATTCAGTGGCATTCTTGGGACATGTTGTATCAGGCGAGGGTATTAAGGTTAGATCCCAAGAAGATCGAGGCAGTTCAGAGTTGGCATCGTCTTACCACAACGATAGAGATCAGGAGCTTCTTGGGTTAGCAGGTTATTATCGTCATTTTATGGAGGGTTTTTCATCTATTGCAGCACCTCTGACTAGGTTGACCCAGAAGGGTGCTCCCTTCTGATGGTCCGATGATTGTGAGGTGAGCTTTCAGAAGCTCAAAACCGCATTGACTTCAGCATCGGTGTTAGTTTTACCTTCCAATTCAGGGATGTATACTATGTATTGTGATGCTTCACAGGTTGGTTTGGGTTGTGTATTGATTCAAGAGGGGCGAGTTATTGCATACACTTCACAAGAGCTGAAACCCCACGAGAAGAATTACCCTGTACGCAATTTGGAGTTGGCTGCGATTGTTCATGCTCTTAAGATCTAGAGGCATTATCTTTATGGGTTGTCCTATGAGGTTTACACCAATCATCGCAGCTTGTAGCATATGTTCAAGCAGAGGTATCTCAATTTGAGGCAGCGCAAGTGGCTTGAATTACTAAAAGATTATGATATTACCATCCTTTATCATCAATTATCATATTGATAGTTTGCCATTCATTTCAGCAGAGGAGAGACCACTAGCTTTGGACATTCAGTCCTTAGCTAACAAACTTATGAGGTTGGATATTTCGGAGCCCAACCGAGTTCTTACATGCGTCGTCGCCTAGTCTTCACTATTCGAGAAGATCAAGGCTCGCCAGTACGACGATCCGCACTTATTGGTTCTCAGAGAGACGGTACTACATGGTAGTGCCAAAGAGGTTACTATCGGTGATGATGGTGTTCTACGACTCCAAGGTCATCTATGTGTCCCTAATGTTCATGGATTGAGGGAAAAGATTCTATAGGAGGCACACAGTTCTCGATATTCTATTCATCCAGGTTCTACGAAGATGTATCGCGACCTGAGACAGCATTATTGGTAGAGGCGAATGAAGAAAGACATAGTTGAGTATGTAGCGAGGTGCCTTAATTGCCAGCAGGTTAAGTACGAGCATCAGAGGCCAGGTGGCCTACTCCAGTAGATGGTTATACCTAAGTGGAAATGGGAGCGCAATACTTTGGATTTTGTAGTTGGGTTGCCGCGGACCTTGCGAAAGTTTGATGCAATTTGGGTCATTGTTTACAGGTTGACTAAGTCAACATACTTCATTCCGGTGGTGACCATATATTCTTCAGAGATATTGGCTTAGATTTACATACAGGGGATTGTTCGGTTGCATGGTGTGCCTGTTTCCATCATATCAGATAGAGGCCCTTAGTTTACTAGTGAATTTTTGTAGGGCAATACAGAGTGAGTTAGGGACCCGGGTAGAGCTCAGCACAACCTTATATCCATAGACCGACGGGCAGTCGGAGCGGACAGTTCAGATCTAGGAGGATATGCTCAGAACATGTGTGATTGACTTCGGAGGGCAGTGGGACCGATTCTTACCTTTGGCCGAGTTTGCTTACAACAACAGTTATCAGTCCAACATCGAGATGGTACCATTTGAGGCTTTATATGGTCAGATATGTCGTTTTCCCATCAGATTATTTTAGCCAAGCGAGGCTAAGTTATATGGTACTGATTTAGTGAAGGATGCCTTGAAAAAGGTAAAGTTGATTCAGGAGCGACTTCGCATAGTATAGTCCAGACATAAGAGTTAGGTAGATCAGAAGGCGCGTGATTTATCATTTATGGTGGGTGAGAAGGTTCTCTTGAAGGTCTTGTCGATGAAGGGAATTATGAGGTTCAGAAAGAAGGGCAGGTTGAGCCCAAGGTTTATAGGTCCATTTGAGGTGTTGAGGCAAGTTGGGAAGGTTGTTTAATAGTTTGCTTTTCCTCTCAGTCTATCGGAAGTTCATCCGATTTTCTACATGTCTATGCTCCGGAGGTATGATGCCGACAGGTCGCATGTGTTAGACTTCAGCATGGTTCAACTATATGAGAGCCTGGGTTATGAGGAGCAGCCAATTGCCATTGTTGACAGGCAGGTTCGCCAGTTGAGGTCCAAGAAGATTTCTGCCATAAAAGTTCAGTAGAGGGGCCAACCATTCCAGGAGGCGACTTGGGAGGCCGAGGAGGACATGCAGAGCATATATCTACACTTATTCGGCACTCCATGTACGATTCTAGACCTGTTCGAGGACGAACGTTTGTTTAAGAGGTGGAGAATGTAACGATCCGACCGGTCGTTTTGCTTCCTAGATAATTATTCCCCTAAATAAGACTCCTCGTATGTGCTTTTACTGTTTTATGACTTGCGGGGTGTCACGACCCAAAATCCTAACCTGTCGTGATGGTACCTATCTCAGTACTAGGCAAGCCGACAACATCAATAACCCATGATTTCCTTTAAATTTAAAAATATAACGTTTAATACAATACCAAATATCTAGCAATTTTCGATACAACACTCCTAAAACCTGGTGTCACTAAGTACATGAGCATTTAATATGAGTACAAGTCTGAAAAATATGGTCAATAATAGTCTGAGACCAAATACAGTAAACAAGGAGATATAGGAGGAGAGACAAGGTCTGCGGAACACGGCAGCTACCTCAAAATCTCCTAAAAATTAACTGCGCGAAATGATCAACACCCGCTAAGTTGAGGAACACTTGGATCTGTACACGAAGTGCAGGGTGTAGTATGAATACAACCAACTCAGCAAGTGACAATAATAACTAAGGAACTAAAGATAATGACGAGCTACACAGTCATAGTTCACTTTCAGTAGTTCCAGCAAAGAATAGACATGCTTTCAATTTCGACAGTTTAAGTCAAATCAATTTTATACAGTTCAATTTCAAGTAATCGGGATATAAATTCTTTCAGAGATTTCACAACAATGGCAGATAGCAACCAAGTGCAACAACAAATGTAAAGCAAGTACAGCCTCTCAGGCAACAGTCACTCAGCTCATCACAACAACTCAACCACTCGGCTCTCATCCCTCAGCACTCACATTCAATGGATACTCGCGCTCACTGGGGGTGTGTACAGACTACGGAGGGGCTCCTATAGCCCAAATGCCATAATCTGCACGGACAACTCACGTGCTATAATATCCTTACCTCACCGACAGGCCCTTGGCCTTACTCAGTCCTCAACCTCTCAAGTCTTTCGGGCTCTCAGAAATCACAAAGGCCAGCCCAAACAAAGATAATATAGTATATCAACAAATATCCAGAAAGACTGAGGTATAATACGCAAGAAAAATCATGACTGAGTACAAGACATCAATTAGCAAATAATTCAACAAGTACGCGACCTCTACGGGTCTCAACTGTACTATAACATAGCATAAGCATGATTTCTAACATGATTTATAGTCAAATTTCTTCAACACATAGAGATCATATAGCTAAAAATAAATTATTCAACTTTTACAGTTTTCCGGGACTAAGGCTGCTTATCGGGCGGATTTGGCGGTTATTTACTCTTAACGGTTTGGCTTATCGGTTATCGGCTTTTAAATATATTAATCCGCTAGCCACCCGATAAAATATCGGGCAGATTGGTATCGGTTTAGCTCTTATCGGACGATTATCGAGCGGTTTATCGGCCTAATTTAATCTATATTGCGTGCATTAATTGTTTGCTGACCGTTGTGACTCAAAATAATTCCGATGCTCAGCAGACTACATTCCAGTATATAGAATACAATAGATGAGTCGATTACATCACAAAGAAGACTACATTACAGATGAGTCCAGAATACATATGTCTTTCCTCCACCCACAACTGCAAAGGAAAAGTCAATGCTCCTTGATTAATTCTGAAATGATAAAATTCCAGTCTATATTCAAAGTGAGTGCAAAATACATATTTCAAAATGATTAATTCATAAGTGAGCAAACTACACAGAAATGTTTGGCCTGCACCTAATGCCTCACAGTGCTTGAATTTCTGCAGCTTCAAAGTTCAAACAACAGTTTAATCCATAAGTGAGTAGATCCCGGTAAAAAATATGCATTCACCAAATTTCAGCATTAGGCAACGAAGTTGAGACTGTGATAAATACTACTGTCTTGATTCTTATTTGATGTTTAGATGACTTTTCTCATACATGTTCTTTCTGAATAGATCATTAAGTGCTCAATATATTTTTCGTAGCGTATTTCCCAGTAGAATCATCTCTGGGGATGAGCCTATTAACAATATATAACTATCAGAAGAAATAGAAGAGAACACTTGGTATAATACATGACATCAAAATTATCTGTATTCTACTCTGATTAGTAGGTTCTGAAAAGGAAATACATGCAATTAGAAAACAAAATATTCTTTCCTCTCATCATATGTTTCTAAATTCTAATCACCATAACCCAAGATGATGAAAAAGGAAAAAGCAGTTAAAATTAATTTATAATTTCCAAATCAAGGGATGGCGAGATACAAAATTCACAGTTTTCATAACCATTAGCTTGGTGAAGCATTTCTGCTTATTAAGTACAACAGTATAACTTAAGTTCTCTTTATCATAAGGAAACTATCAACTACTTATTAATGATAATAGAAGATAGGATGTCTACTGATAACTACTGATGAGAACTAATCATAGAAGTTGCAAGAACATATTCAATACTTGAAGCCTTGATGGGTTAAATTCGAATTCTTACCAGATATATTAACACTACACGTCAATTACGGAAGGGTCTTTTCCATTGCTGGCTAAATATGAAGAAAAAAATTAAAATAATGAGTCGTGCGATAAATATAAGCATATCAACAATACTTATATAAAAAAAATATAGTAACAATATTATTACCTTGTTCAAGCTTCTCGATTTTATCAAGATCTTCCTCAACACTAACATGTTGTTTTAATTTTTCATTTCGAAGTCAATCTTGAAGACACACTAGAGCTTGCACCAATTTAGGAGTTAATGAACTCCTAAATGAATCAAGAAGACGTCTTCCCGTACTAAATGCACATTCGGATGCTACACTTGAAACCGGAACAGCTAATACATCACGAGCCATCTGCACAAGAATAGAAAATCTAGCTGAGTTCAATTTCCACCAAAGAAGAAGATCAAATTATTTAGTGTCATCCTTAGTTTCTTCACCTAAATATTTATCTAACTCTGTTCTAGTATCAACACCTCCACTCTCACTTTTATATTTTTTTTATATCTTGCATGAGTGATTCTAAAGGTCCTATATTTTGGGTGCTTGCTTGAGTGCCAGAAAGCCCGAAAGTGGATGTGTCCAATGAAGAACAATCTGAAGATGAAGCAAGCACGACAGCTTTTGAGCTGGACTTTATATACTCACTAAATAATGAAGTCATGTACTTCGTCAATTCTGCTTGTATAGTTGTCCCTGGATCTACACCAAACATCTTTACAAGTGCATAGCCAATTGATTCGAGCTTGTAACGTGGATCCAAAATACATGAGATAAAAATTATCTTGTTCATTTTTCCTGGATCACCCCAATATTTATCAAACTTTTCTTTCATCTTCTTTGCCATTTCACTTAAAACTGTATCTTCATTTGCTATCAATTGCTTTAAATAAACAGCAACTGCGCAAATTTCAAGAAAATGAATATTCGATGTAACATAACGTGATCTAGATATCTTCAAAGTAAGAAGACATAATATTTCAAGAAACTTTGTAATTCTTTTTAAATTCTCCCAATCACTACTCAAAAGTTTACCTATAGGAATTTCAACTTCAACATAAGAATGCTCAAGATAATGTCTCAAGCCAATTTCCCTAGAAGCATAATGTGCAAATGCACTTTCAAATTTAACAGCCCTACGCAACATTAAGTAGGTGGAATTCCACCTAGTTGGAACATCCAAGAATAAAGTTTTTTTACAATTGAGTTGTTCATCATCAAAACATTCTTGAAACCTCTTCAACCTCGCAGGAGACTGCCTAACATATCTCACTGCATTCCTAACGCGTTCAATTGACACTGAAGATTCTTTTAAACCATCCTGGACCACAAGATTCATGATGTGAGCCATATATCTCACGTGAAGGTGAGTACCATTCATCAAATTAGTTCCCATTTTTGTTAATTGCTTAGATAATTCTTTTATTGTCACATCATTTGAGCTTGAATTATCAACTGTGACAGTGAAGATCTTATTTATCCCCCACTCACGTAAACACCTACCAATACCATTTGCCATATCTTCGCCTTTATGACTAACAATAGGACAAAAATTAATTATTCTCTTATGCATATTCTATTCACTATCAATCCAATGGGCAGTGATACACATGTAATTGATTCTGTGTATAGAAGTCCAGGTATCAGTGGTAATACATACTCTATAAAAGACCTCTTCAACTTTTGTTTTTCTTCATTAAAAATATCAAAACAATCCCTAGTTACAGTACTACGGGAAGGGATCCGAAAATAAGTTTGCGCCACTTTCATAAAGTCTCTAAAACCTTCTTTATCAGCAAAGCTAAGAGGAAGTTCATCAACTATTACCATACGACCTAACGCCTTCCTACACTCTTCTTGATCAAATTTCTAAGTAACAACAATTACGTCACCTTGACTATACCCCCCCC